TGTTGGCCCGGATGGCGTACGACCCAGGATCCGATCCCCGGACCGAGCGCGTGGTAAGCAGCGCCACTTGCCACGACACCACTTCCGCCCTCTATCGCCCCAAGTATCTTAAGTAAGATTATAGAATTCACCCCCACACTGGCGCCAAAAAAATGTCAAATTCGTAATCAGGACGGCACAGCTGGCATCAGTGCCCGTCAAGAAGGGAAGCCCAGTCTCGATAATGCACAAACAAGCAAACCGATGAATTTCACAGCAGCGCAAAATCAAAAGTAATGACAAGCTCAAAATAATATTATTAACAAAAAAGGATTGAGAAAGAAAAAGGAAATCAAAGGGAATAGCAAGTATACAAAATCAGCTGGACAAACCTCAGTTGTCGATGCCTCCGAAACTGTTTCACATGGAATCACTCGACTAAGCGGAGCGAACATCATTCGTTCCATATGGCGGAAGTCTCGCATGGCTTCCTCGACGAATCGTGGAAAAAGCGAAGCCGGACGAATCCACAACGACATCCTGAAGCGAAGTTGAACTCGAAAGACGTGCTGGCAACCAGCTGACCGCCGTTTAAATAGACGCCGCGACGGCGTTCGCGAACGTTCGCGAATGTTCCACGTCTGCGTCTCCCCGCCACGTGTACTCTCTCGCCGTTCGCTCTGCCGCGTGCTGCGAAGTGCATGATGCAATCTAGAAGGGTGCTTGAGCACTTTCGTCATGTTTTCCTCCTATCGTCTGTTCTAGCAGTTTCGCTTATCGATACCATTATCAGGAGAGCGAAGGCTCTAGAAGCTTCTTGAGATGCGCCATGCACTAGACGATCATCAGAAATTGCAAAGGGCTTTCAATTCGTGTTTGGCCGGTACATGAGGGCATCCGTATTTTACGTGGGCGCTGAATCCTTCCGTTAAAGTCCGCTGTCTTTCTATCTCCTGTTCAGGGGTGTTCAGTCCTTCCCTATAAAGTTGGGGGACGAAAATCCCTTTGAATTTATTTGTTTTTAACGATATAGTTTCTTCATTTTCAAGTGCATGTTTACTTTGACATACATACATACATTAAACCTAGGCCCTTTATCAGGACAATTGGGAAAGACAGAGAAAATTT